TAGTTAGTAGAACGAACTAGTACGTACGTAGTTACTTCGTCGTAAACTAAACTACTCGTGGTGTACGTTAAACTTAAATAGATAGTAAGACTAACTACTACCTCCCTCCTCTCTCTCTCTCTCTCTCTCTCTCTCTTTCTCTCTCAATTTAATAACAGTCTTTGTCTTCAAAGGCTGCTCCATTTAATGTTTGGTGCACATGAGGAAACAATGATGGACCTTTCATTATATTAGTTTATAGTTGTCTTTCATTCCTCAAATGAAAGGACGGTCATGCCACTTTTAAATGTGTTAAACCGGCATTTTAAAGTCAAAAGGGATCCTCCATTTGGGATTGTGTAGGAAGATTGTGCCCTCTTATTGGCTTGGCTGTAATGTTGGACTTCTAAAACCATTACTCAGTCTAATTAGGAAACTCCTAAAATGAACCATCCATCTACAAGGAAAAATTTTCTCAAGTTTCAAAACCACTGCAACCATGACCAAAGTATCCTCTACCAAAAGAATTTGATTTGGCTGGCTAAAGGAGAAGCAAAAACATCTGAATCGATGTAAATTCATTTTAAGGGCTGAAGATGTTGATATTGCTTTAATGGATTTCCTGTGCCATTCTTGTTATTGCCTTGGATTGAGAAGTTAGGCTTGAGTTTTAGGGTTTTGGTTGTGTAAATTCAGACAAACATATCGGGCCTTGTTCGTGGAACTCAATCTTTGCTCCTTCTAGTCTCAATCACAGCCTAAACCCAATTCCAAAGCCCATGTTGTCTAGTGGCTTATGCTTCAAAGTTCAAAATCTCCATCACTAATATCTAATGTTCAAATATTAGGTTACCAAAGAAATAAACAAAAAGAAGCCCAAAAAGTGATGAAAGGGCAAATTGGTCATTCTTGAAAATGAAGATGACATCTTGCAAGGTCAAGCATGAGATTGAGGATCAGGACCAGAGCCCTTTTACCCAGTTTGTAGGTGTCCTAAGAAAGCGGTCCCCATGGCCAAAAAAGTGAGCTGTATGGGCCCGGCCCTGGCCCTACTTTTGGACTTTTCATGGCTGACCGACCACAAATTAGACCTTGTTTTCTCCTTCTGCATTTTTCCTTATATATAATGATGCCTTCCCATAGACCATCTCCCTTCATAATTCTCACTTCTCCCTTTTCCCTTCATTCAGTTCCCCCTTTCTATTCCTTCCTTGTTAGCCATGGCTTTAGGTCTGCGTTCCTCCACCCTAAACACCAACTTTTTCCGACCATCAATAGAAGGCGAAATCCCAAGAATTCACTCTTTAGACAATCTCTCAGGCTCCTCAGGCCTGCTGAAGTATGTCTCTAGCAAAGCCTTCCCATCCATTCGAGCGAAGAGTTCGTGCAACAGATCGCTTCTTACCCATGAAACTCCAGCTATGACTCACAGGATTCCGATCGGTGAGCACAAGCTCCATGGCCTCCAGAGCTCTAGAGTAAAGGGAGTGCCAGTCTTTGTTATGCTGCCTCTTGATACTGTGAACTTTGAAGGGGCACTTAGTCGGCCTCGAGCACTGAATGCTAGTCTTATGGCACTCAAGGCCGCTGGGGTGGCTGGAGTGATGGTGGATGCATGGTGGGGGTTGGCCGAGAAGGACGCGCCTCGACAGTATAACTGGAGAGGTTATTTGGAGCTTGTTCGTATGGTCGAGAAGCATGGTTTGAAGCTCCAGGTTGTTATGTCTTTCCATCGGTGTGGAGGAAATGTTGGCGACAATTGCAAGTAAGTCCTGAAAATTTTCATTTTTTTTTTGGGGTAATTATCGATGAAATTCATCATCCTCAAAGCTTTTTCCCAACTATTTAAGGTCGGAATTTTGGAATAAAAATTTTAAGGACTCAAATTAGTTAGTTATATATGAAATGCTTCTCTATCTTTTTCTTTTTGGGAGGCTGTGCTGTGATTGCAACCATGGGCAGTAGAGATGAGCAGGGTTTCCTTTTGCTACGAATTCCCTCAAGCACATGGGAATTTATCAAAATACATCTTATTTACCAACTATTCAAAGTTTTAGCCATTTTAATCTATTTTCAAGGGAATGAATAGAAGTTTATCAAAATACATGCAACAGATTAACTATTTAACAATTTACCATACAGTTTGAAAGCTGATAAGAAAGAATTACTATTTATCAGTCTAACGTAGAAGCCTGATTGCATAAGTAGCGTACGAAACTTATGTACCTGCGCCAAAATGATAGCATGCAATCCACATCAAAAAGAAAATAAAGAAAAAGATAAACAAAACTCAATAAAGAAGGGTGTGGTTTGTATAGGGCTGACGCCCTAAACAAAAATAGTGTCGGAATATGTTTTTTTGGTACCGAAAATCTTTCTAATGGTTTGAAACTTTATTTTCATATCTACTTATAAAATTTAAAACAACTTAAAAAATGGTATAGATCGAGAAGATCTATGAACACTTGAAATATCTTAAAAATTGATGGTCTAGAAATACATTACAAGATGAACTTTTTACAAGATTTGAAATTCATGTTTTCTCATGTCCATACATCTTGAGGTCAAGATGATCGATTTGGGGATATTTTTGGGCATCGAAATAACCTTTTCTAGTGAATTTTTTAGGTACACCTTAATTTAATTGTTTAGGGCCTTCATAAAATAATAAAGTTTTTTTTAAAAAAAGAAAATAAAATATGAGTAGTTAGATTAAGGGAAAGTGTCCAATTGGATTCCAAATAATAGATTACGCGTCCCGTTTTATCTCATACTTTGTGGAATCTTAGATGGATCCAATCACGAGTTTGACAATTTGCATAATAAAAAATTGAAATTTTTTTATATAAGGTTGTAACTTGTAACCATATAAATATTGAAGTAAGGTGCACCTAAAAAATGCTACAAAAGAGAGTGTTCTAGCATTGGAGAAGCCTCTAATTGATTATCTCGACTTCAAGGTATACAACCATAACAAACAAGAAATTTTGAGTCCAAAAAATAGTGCATGCATCTTGTAATAAGTGATTAACAATGTCTATTTTCAAGTGTTTCTTGATATGCATGGTCAATACCATTTTTAAAATTTTAAAATTTTAAATTTCATAACTAAAGATAAAAATAGACTTTAATGTTATCATATGGTTTTGAATACTAGAACATCTCTAAGCAAATTTTAAAGTTATACCTTACTTCTACAGTATAAAGCGACAACCTTATACAAACCTCACGTAAAGAAATTTGCACGGCTCACAACTAAATGGTTCATGCTTTTCCATATACAACTTGTCGATAAGATGCTTTTCATATGAAACATTCAAAGAAAAAGAAAAATGCTTTTCATATGGATAATTTGGATGAATTCTTTTCTTTTAAAAAATTAAAATAAAAGGTTGACCTTTCATTCACTTCAATAGAAGGTTTCCAAAGGTATATTTGTCATTCAAATTAGCAGGATCAGGGGCTATTATGATCCACACCTCTCCTCCGATCAGGTACATTGGAGAGGCATCTTGATCATGGCCAATTTAGAGCCCAAACGGTCTGGAAATGAATTAAGATTGTCTAAACATGCACAATTATAGCAATTAGGAAGTTTATAAAAATGTACTTCATAAATGAATTATTTAGTGTCTTATTTATTTCTTTTGATCTAATCTCATAAAGCACATCAAACTGGGAATGAGGTTGAGGTCATGGTGGTAGCACTGCCTAAGCCTCAACTATCAGTCTAGGTTTCCATTCTCGACGCATTTGAAAAAAAATGCATCAAACTACACATGATCATAAATTGGAGTAGTTGAAAAGAGGTGCAATGTTAAATAGCCGATAAATTAGTTATATTTGATAAATTTCTCTCATATTGTCTTTCATTTTGTTAGTCACATCATCATAGCATTTTTCCAATTAATTGAGATCGGCTCTTTCATCATGTTAACTTGTTGTTTGGAAATAGTACTATTTTATTTTTGGAGCATGCTTCTCATTTTTTATTTTTTATTTTTAATCATAGAAATTGTTAGGTAGAAAATTTTGATATGGGTCCTGTCATGCTAGGAGGCTACAACCGTTGGATCGTTATCCTATATCTAGATGTGGATAGGTATCAAATGCAAATTAGCATAAATATCCTCAACATCTCAAGTTGGATAAGATGCAATTCCATTGAACTCATTACATGGAACGTGTGAAGAATTTTCCTAGGACGTTATTTCCCTTTTTCATAAATATCTTTCTTTTTCTGTTGTGTGAAAAGGGCAAAAGGAATGAGAAAAGAGTGAATACAAATGATACGTAAAAGTGCCGGGAAAGATTACTGTACTTCTCTTATTGTATTTATTGTATTGAAGTTATATAATTCCCTCCATCTGACCGTTCAATATAGATCAAGTGAGTCATTGATGGTTGATCTAGATCCAACTTCTTAAAATATTTTATTTTAATTTCTTCCTACAAGTCATATAAATATGAAATTTGGTACGTCCTATTATCTCAATAAGGCGCACGTATAAATATTAAAAAAAATATTTCTGATAAAATAAAATGACCAAAATGCACCTAAAGTTTTCAGAGATATTTTGATCATTTTATTTTATCAATTTTTTTTTTTTATATATTCTTTACAGGTGCGAGAGGAGTGGATGCTCAAAATTTGGTGTTAACATTTTTGTAGAAAAACTTTAAAATAGAATAATGTGGAGGCATAATATTGTGTTTGGATGCATTTCATTTGTCCATTCAGATTAGACGACTGGATATGGAGAAGTGTATAACTTCTTTATAAGGGAAGTATAGAAAATTTCCCCCAAAGTGCTACTTATATATAGGGAAAAATTTAATCGAAGCGTTATGCAAATGCAGCCTCCTTCCAAAGAAAAACATAAAAATTCCCGAGTATGGATTTAGGTTTTAAAATACATTCGAAGTAACTCTGTACGCATTTATGCTTGGATACAGGACTATGAAACTAAAAAAATAATGCAACTATGGTGATCCACGAAGAATTAAATGAACAATAACAAAACAAAAGTCCAAAGTATTAAAACACTATCCTATGTGTAGACTCCTAGGGTGTCACCCGAGGACAATATGATCCCACGGGAACTTATGATGTTATGGCTAAAACCATAGGTTAAGGTATAGAGAACATTTATTTTTGGAAAATTGTTTGATAGGGCTGCACCCCTATTAAAGTAAATAAAGCCTCACCTCATAACTCACCAAAAATTGAAATTCAAACATCGTAAAGCCTCTATATCAATCATCTCAACTTGAACATTATGGTTCTGAAAAAAAATTAAGATTTCAAGCTTTAAAAATAGCATATAATGTAACAAATTATCTAGATTGTCTATCTTGCCCTGAACGTAAGTGCTCATAGATCTACCAGATCTGTGTATTTTTTTGGTTCCAAATTTTATTGTCGGTGTTGGAAATTCATTTTGGAGCCATCATGGAGATTTCCTTTGCCAAAAGCCTAAGCCTTATAGAAACTTCATTCTTTACTTTTATTACAACGAGGTCATAATCATTCTTGTTCATCAGATTTCAAATCAAATGGTTGTGAGTGTGTTATTGATTATACTCAGAGTTCAAATTTTTTTTTTCGAACTTTGTGATGCACTCCAAGCCATCCAAAAATGACATCAAATGGCTAATACCAATTGTGACCTCTATGTAACAAAGATAAATAGCTTTATTGTATGAAAAAGTTTATATAAGGTTGCAACTTTAAAATGTAGAATTAAAGATATACCTCAAAAATCTATCATAAGAGGTTGTTTGGATGTTGGAAAACCGTATGATTGATCATCTTGACAACGAGATGTATGAATATGAAAAAAAAAAAAAAAATTAAGTTTGCAAAATAATGTATCTTGCAATACATTATTTGGACAGTCCATTTTCAATATTTGAACTATTTTTAGAGTTTAAAATTTTATCACTAGAGATAGAAATAAATTTTTAAGCCATCTTAAAAAAAAAAAATATCAAAATTACATTTATGATAAAATTTAAAGGTACATGTTAATTGGATTGTTTAAGGTTGCAACCTTATGCAAACCACACCCTTATTGTATATAATCCCAAAACATCAGCCAAGCTCATGACATATCACTCTTATTGTATATAATCCCAAAACATCAGCCAAGCTCATGACATATCATGTGACAAACCTTCGAGAGAAACTATCTCCGTACACCCTCTTATTAAGTTTCATCTCCTCAATAGAAGGTTTTAAAACATATCTTTCGATATAGAGATCCCATGTATCATATTTTCTAACCCTTAAACTAACTTTATCCCAAACAAAAGTTCAAAAGACATCGTTTTTTGTATTCTTTTTTAAACCCTATCCTCAAACCTCTCCTCCTTTTTTTTAAAATATTGGAAAAAAAATATCTTTTAAAAAATATCATTTTTTAATATTGAAAAATAAAGAAAGAAGTTTGAAGATAAACACCTGAATAGAGGGAAAAGGGGTTTAAAAAAGAATGAAAAAAAGATATCTTTAAAACTTTTGTTTGGGCTAAAAGCAATGGGTAAAGTGAGCCTACTGAATTAGAAGATATAATAAATGAGATTTCTATGCTGCAAGATATGTTTTGAAACATGGTTTTGATGATAAATGAAACTTAAAAAGAGCCTCAATCAAGGCATACTAGACGTCTTCCCGACTTTATAGACCTTCACTTAACATTAAATTTTTTTTGCAGTATCCCTTTACCACCATGGGTGTTGGAGGAAGTAAGCAAAAATCCAGACTTGGTGTACACAGACCGAAGCGGCAGAAGAAACCCTGAATACATCTCCCTAGGTTGTGACTCCCTCCCAGTCCTCAGAGGAAGAACACCCATTCAGGTCTATGCTGATTACATGAGAAGCTTTAGGGATACCTTTAAGAATTACCTCGGAGAAGTCATCGTGGTGAGTTCAAATCCACAATGCACATAATGTGTCGAGATCGAGAGAGATTTCTAACCATTGAATGGATCAATAGAACAATTCATCTGCATCATCTGTCTTGAGAACAGAGCTGAGGGATGGCATACTCTCTGATCTTTTATGTGCACTATACTCTCTAATCTTTTATAGACATGCATATTATGATCATGTGGGTTAACTAATTGTGACTGGATGATAATGCAGGAAATACAAGTGGGGATGGGTCCTTGTGGGGAGCTCCGATATCCCTCCTACCCTGAGAGCAATGGCACATGGCGTTTCCCAGGGATTGGAGAGTTTCAATGCTATGACAAGGTAAATATGAAAGACTAACCAAACGAACCCAGGCTCATGGAAGCAAACCCAGTTTTATGAAAACAACAAAGACAGCCCTGCACACTCACACTCACACGCGCACACACACACACAGATAAATAAGATTGTTTCTCTTATAAAAACCAAACTAACAACAATATTTATGGAATGTAAAAGCATGCACACATTCTGTGTATGTGATAGTGCAGTACAATTCAAACTGGGTGAGGTCCTTGCCAGTTTTCGCTGAGAACTGTCTGACTGGTCCAATCAGTTGAGTTCAGAAAACAATAATCTTTCCTAGTCCATAGGTACAATTTGATATGCCAATTCAAATCAAACTAGCCAGTCTGGTATCCTTCAACAACATTGACCAACAATACTTCTAAAAACCCACGTCCAAAAGTAGGGATACATCATCTAATCCAGCCACAAAAATTGCATGAACCCAAAACTTGGGTACATAGAACTTCGAACCCAAAACCATAGTGCAACATTCATTCCCTAACCATTGAGCCAAGAAACCAAATATGCATTGGTCTAAATACCATCCAGAAAATTCTTCATTCAACTCAACCCAGTTAGCCGAAATTCACAAAGTTTCTTTCTCCTTTTGTTGCTCAAAAGAAATATTTCTTTGCACCAAATTTTGTTTCCAAACTAGGCCTCAAAATCTTAGTATGGGCACCTTTTTTATCTTTCTAAGGAACTCTACTAACAATCAAATTACCTCACTTCACATGCTCTGTGACCTCACAAAATCCATGGTTGACAAATATTGCAGTACATGCAAGCCTCCTTACAAGCATCAGCCATAGCAATTGGGAAAGAAGAGTGGGGAAGAGGTGGGCCCCATGACTCTGGTCAATACAACCAATTCCCTGAGGAAACTGGATTCTTCCGCCGAGACGGAACCTGGAACTCCGATTATGGGAACTTCTTTCTTCAATGGTACTCAAACATGCTCCTAAACCATGGTGACCGCATTCTACAAGCTTCCGGGGCCATCTTCGCTGGAACAGGGGCCAAACTTTCAGGAAAGGTTGCCGGGATACACTGGCACTACCAAAGCAGGTCCCATCCCGCAGAGCTAACAGCTGGCTACTATAATACGAGAAATACAGATGGCTATAGTCCAATTGCCCGATTATTTGCCCGAAGAGACACAATATTGAACTTCACATGCATGGAAATGAGGGACTCTGAGCAACCAGGCCACGCTGGGTGCGGGCCAGAGGGCCTCGTCCGCCAAGTGGCCTCAGCAGCTCAATACGCTGGAATCCACCTTGCAGGGGAGAATGCGCTAGAAAGGTACGATGATGCTGCATTAGAGAAGGTGGCAGCCAGTTGTTTTCTTCAAGAAAATGGCCAAAAACTGGCAGCATTCACTTATTTGAGGATGAACAAGAGGTTGTTTGAAAGTGAGAACTGGAGGAGGTTTGTGGGGTTTGTCAGGAGTCTGTCAGAGGAAGGGTGCTATGGGAAGTTGTCTAGGGAGGATTCAGGACGATCAGATCTAAGTGTCAGTTGGTTGGGTGACAGGAATCTTAGGACTGAGGCTGCCGCCCTCATGTGATTTTGCCGGAATATGGTGGGTGGTGCCAGAATCCAGCCACTGGAAACATGTAAGTAAACAGGGTTTTGGATGAGAGGAATCTTGAGGACGGAGACCAATTCCCTATTGTAAGGGGGCAGAGATCTGAGGATCCACTGCTGCCATTGTGTAAGTATGCCGGAGACTGCGTTACGGTGGATGGAGTAACTGTATCCATGTATACTTTTTTTCTTTTTGGGTGGATTAGCTTGGTTTATATGGATCACGTGATTTGAACTCTTGGATCTCATCAAAACTGAGTGTTCCACCAATGGATCAAAGGACACAGGACAATATATATTGTCTCATAGTTGTCAAATATATCGAAAAATTCCCTAGATGTGGGAGATAATGACATAAAAATATAACTCATGATTGCTGAGTTTAGCATATTCTTTCCCTAAATTGTGCATTCAAAGCAAGCATTCCCATAAAGTCATCTTACAGGTGGTTTGCACGTCATGACGAGAAGATGAAATAACATCAAGGAAGTGCCAATAAACTATAAATAAAGTATCTAGGAGAACTCAAACTATCATTATAGACCAACACATACCACTTTGCTTCCTTTCAAGGTGGAAATTTGTTCGAGGGATCTTTGAATCCAAGTAAGAAGTATGTTTAAGGGTATGAATAAAACCGTGAAACAATGGGTTAATCTTTGTCAGGTCAGAATGAACACGAGCCCACTAACGGAGATAAATGAGTACTGAGTCACCAAACTAAGAAAACATGAATTTGCCTTGAAACCAAGAAAAAGATCCGTCAAGCCCTGATGTCCAAAAAGATACTTGGAAAAAGGTTATCTTGATATACCAAATTTTCTTTGACAAGAAGCTTAATGTGACAGTCCATGCAGAAATTGAAGATATACCTTGACGCAAGAATTCATTCAACTTAAGAAAACAATGCATAGCTTGGGAACACAATTGAGTCAGGAATCACCTAAACAATCTTCATAACAAGAAATGGGTGCATGGAGATACCCTAACAATATAAAAACTAATATGGATGAAGACAATGAAGAATAGCACGAGCACTTCAATAAAGCCACAATTTCACAAGAATAAGAAGTGTAAGCGCATTGAATAAGTCCTACGAATCCAAAGAGCTCAATAAAATCCTGCTTTACTTTCATAAATCCCCATATGTGGCACATTGACCATATATGAAGGTGCATCGCCAACAATTATGCACCCAGATGACTGTTTGTGAGAGCAGAAAAATGCCCACAACAATTTTTGGTTAAACCAAACAAACCCCCCTCCCAAAACACCCACCCATCCCCCAAAAAAGAACCAAACCAAAAAAAAAACAAAACCTCTCTCTCCTCTAAACCAAGAAAAAAATGCAGGCATCTGCTTGTGGACAGTGCGACCCACCAGATCTGAACATGATGACGATCGTGGGTCCCACTTTCTTCATTGTTCTACAACATTAGAGAGTGATGACCCATAAGGACCGGGGTTTTCTGTAACCCATTAGATTATGGCATACCTTTCCATAAAATTATGCAAAATAGTACTTAGACATCAAATGTTGTTGCCCCATGAGATGTGAGGCATGTTGTGAGGATCCAACTTCCCTTTCATCAATATCTTTAAAATACTATGAGAGCCAATTATCGTTTTCTCGTTAATAATTATTCAAAAAAAGTACAAAGGCCATCGATCATAACATGCTTTCACATGTTTCATTCATCTCATGGCCCTAGTTGGCAAGCTTGTCTGCCAACTGTTAGGTTATGGGATATACATAGCTCGCATTTATACCAACCAAGAAATCGAGTGTTTCCTTAAGAGAGAAGCAAGAACAAACAAAATCTTTCTTCTATAATCAGTGAGCTGATAACCCTATGAGTTGACATCAATTGTAATAAAAAAATTAAAACAAAAAAAGGCATCCTCAGCTATATGTTACAAACATGATTATATGAGAAAACTCACCTCAGGGATAACTGTCCCAGCATCTTGTCCTATTCCTATACAGAGCTGGATAAATGCCTTGTACACTTGAACCCCCTACACTACTTCACAGAGGGCCATAAAAAACTTACACTCTCTTTAATCCTAAAGAGATTGAGGCACGGCCTCTAAGGATCACAGATTGCCACATGCATCATGTAATCGTTTCAACTCATTCTACCTTGATTAGAAGCTTAAAAATCTGTGCAGATAATTCATATGGACAAACTCTATCAAGTATCTAAGGGTCAGCCATTGCCATGTCCATCACATATCCATCGAAGCAAAGAGTTTCACTCATCTCTGTCATTTCAAAGCTTAAAAATTAGATCAGAGAGCCCATGTAGCTTAGTATAAATGAGAAACCCCCCTTAACTTAGGATCACTCATTTCTATATGCATCACAAGTCATTGCAGAGAAAATCTCAACTCACCTCCATGGCCTCCAAGCTTAAAAATTAAATCAGAAAAATCATGTGGCTTAATCTTATCAAGATCCCACTTTCGCTCACCTGTTATCCTTTGTCGACACATGGTCTCAAAGGTGAGATGCATTAGAAAATCCAAAAACACACATTTCTCAGCCCTTTCATCTGAAATCTTGGCATCCTCACAGAAGTCAAAATGAGCTCTCTCTAGTATGTTACGCGTAGCATCATCCAAACTAAAGGAAGCCCTCCTAAATCTATCAGCCCACATCAAGGCCCTATCAGGCATCCCTTGCTTGCAAAAGTGAGTGAGCAACACATTAACAGTAACCACATTAGGTAAAAAGTTCATCTTAAGAAGTTTACCCAAGAGAATTGTGGCCCGGTCAAGCACATCATAACATAAACCATCAAGCAAGGTGTTGTATGTGATTGTGCTAGGACCAAATCCCATCATGACAAGCTCATCAAGCATCTTGAGAGCATGACCCATCATATGATTAATGCAAAGACCATGGATCCATATGTTATATGTTATACAATCAGGGGGACAATCATCTATTGCCATTTTGTTCACATAGTCAGCAGCACTAACCATATCGAAGGCCTTGCAATAAGCGTCAATGAGAGTATTATATGTAACACTGTTAGGGGCCAAGCCACTACTATTCAAAATGTGCAAATATATATTGTTTGCCATCTTAAATCTTCCTTGTCTACAAAGCCCATTGATTATAGTATTGCTAGTAAAAAGATCGGGCACAATCCCTCTTTCTCTCATCTCACTTTCCAATTTGAATGCTTGGACCAAGTCACCATCCTTACAGTGCCCATCAATCAAAGAATTATATGTGAAGTTATTGGGTACGACTCCTCTCCTTGACATCTCCCTAAAATACTCACAAGCCTCATCAGTGAGATTTGACTTGCAAAGGCCGTTTATAAAGGCAGAGTAAGCGACAACATCAGGTGAGATCCCTTTGCCTTCCATATCATTCCAAAGACCCAAAGCAAGAGAAATCTCACCATTCCTGAAATACCCATCAATCAGTATGGTGAATGCAACTCTATTAGGAGGAAAACCTCTTAAAAGCATCTCATCCATGAGCCTTTCAGCTTCTAGCATTCTCCCTTCTCTGCACAAACCCACGAGAAGTGAGCAATATGTCACAATGGAAGGAGCCAATCCAAAATTTTCCATTAATTTGTAGAGAGAAAAAGCCTCATCTACGAGTCCAAGCCTACTATGACCAGCAATGATCGTGTTGAATGTGAACAAGCCTGGAGACACCCTCTTCTCAATCATCTCTCTAAAGAGCTCTGTGGCCTCATCTAACTGGCCTGCCCAACAATGCCTAGCAATGAGTATATTGAATGTACATGTATCAGGCACAAGACCCATTCCTAACATATCCCTTAAAAGTCTCTCTACTTCTTCCTCTCTCGCAAACTTACAATATGCGGAGAGAAGAGTATTGAGAGTGAAACTATCAGCCATAAAACCTCTCTCTACCATTTCTCGATAAATAAGGTTTGCTGAATCAATATCTCCACACTTGAAATACCCATGAATCAAAGTGTTATATGTTACATTGTTGGGTGATACTCTTTGTTCTCCCATTCTTTTGAAAATTCTCTTCGCTTCCTCCATGTCTCCAGTCTTGCAGGCCCCACTGATGAGTGTGTTATAAGTTACATTATTGGGGTGACAACCCCTTTGAAGCATTAGATCAAACAAAACCAGAGCATAGGAGAAATGGCCATAAATACAGTGAGAATTGATGAGAATGTTATAGGTGAAAACATCAGGAACACACCCATATCGATTCATAACTTCCATTAAACTCTTCCCTCTCCCTAAATCTCCTCTTCTGCAAAACCCAAGTATCAAATTATTGAAAGTTCGAACATTGGGTCGAGGCCCATCATCCAACAACTCTCTAAAAAGTTGCAGAATAATGGAAACCTCACCAAACCCAAATAACAAATCGAAAAGAATGTTCAAAGCTGAAATACTCGGTAAAATTTTCTCAGTCCTCATTCTACCCAATATCACAATTGCATCGCAAACCAACTTTGCATTGAGACAAGCTCTAAATAGTAAATCAAACACACATGAATCGGACCCATATAGACCACGAATACCCCAGAGCGTATCAAATACAGCTGAGCGGGAGAAATCTCTAGTACTCATTACCAGATGAAAGAGAACATCTTCAGCTAAACTTCGCGATCCTTGAGCAACTAGGTGGTGCACCATGATCAAACAAGAGAGAGAAAAACACGGTGAGTCCTCCGGGATCACAGAAATGAAGAGGGAGAAAGCGGCATCGCGATTTCTGAGCCGCTTCATGAGCTTGGCAATGGATGAATGGGTTTTCAGAGAGAGAAAGTAATTGAGAAGTGAACATTGTCGAGTCTTTGAAGCTTTGGAGAGGGTAATGGCGAGGACTCGGAGGTCTAACGGGTTCGGTGGGCTTTTAGAGCAGCAAGGAGGAGGGGCTATGAATTGTTGGAGAAAGGAGGTGGTTGTGTGGGGTGAAGAGAGGGAAAACGTTTTTGTAGAGAGATGGACGAGGTGGGGTAGCAAGAAGAGAGGGAAGGTGATGCGTGGGGAGAGACGCGGAGGCTTTAGTGCGCTTCTCATCTTCGGTGGGGGGCTCAAACCCTCCTTTTTGTATTTCCAGCTCTGCCTCCATTGCCAACATAGAGAAGGGGAGAGAGAACCTGTTTCTGTATGGATTTTCCATTTATGCGATTTGGATTTGGATTTGTATTTTGATTTTGATTTTGATTTTGATTTTGATCTTTTAGGGTACCTTACTCCTAGGGAAATATACCGGAGCATTATATAAACGTTTCCCCACAAATTGCTTTCGATGACAATAATAGAATCGATTACAATAATAGAAAGGACTTAGAATAGATTTAGGTTGATGTGTTCCGTCTTATTCATTTTAGTTGAATGATATAAATTTGATATATGTTTTAAAATAATATTAATAAGTGATATGTTTAATCTAGTGTTCAAATAAAATAGGTGACGTACAACTTTACTTTTTACAATTGGACACTGTCTCTATGAGTTAATGACTCATGGTAGAAATACAGGCCTTTAATAATTTATTTTTAAAATAAAATTTAATCCTATATAATTTTTAACATGTAAATTAGTAATCTTTACAAGTAAATAATTTTAAAAACTAAAAATTATATTTTTTGAAAAAAATATTTGAATTGTTGATTTTATTTTTTCTTTAAAGGGCGGTAGATCTATATTTTTTTTGGTGAATAGTATAGACCTCCAAGCCCGCATAGTAATAGTAATAGGTGTGGGGTGGGGCGCACCAAACAATTCTCCTTTTCAAATAGGGTTGCATCCTTACTTTTTTTTTGTTTTTTTTTTAGGAAAAAGTTTATATAAGGTTGTAACCTTAAAATGTAGAACTACGGATGCACCTAAAAAATCCATCGGTAAAGCCTGTTTTAATGTTGAAAAATCCTCTAATTGATCATCTCGACATCGAGATGTATGACTATGAAAAAAAAAGGATTTTGAGTTTAAAAAATGATGTATCTTACAACATATTATCTAGCTCGTTCATTTTCAAAATTTTCATACGTTTATAGATCTACTTGATTTTAATCATTTTTGGAGAGATAAAATTTTATAAGTAGATTTGAAAATAGATTTTGAGATAATCTTTAGAATATCTTACGTTAAAATTATATGTTATGATAAAATTGGAATGTACGTCTTAAATGGATTGTTTAAGGTTACAACATGAAACCACACCCTTTTTTTATGGGAAAATATTTTCATAAACCCCATTTTTAATTTTCATTTTTCCATTGATCTAAACTTGCAAAACCTATCTTACTACATAGAAATTCATTCTATTATATTTCTTAACCCCCTAAATTGGTCGGTCTGACTCATTGCACCGCTAACTGTTTGGCTTGACTAGACGGAACATTGATCAATGTTTTGGTACATCTGGTTGAGTGTTTAATTGAAAATCAATCAAAATTATTTGCTAAGTTTTGTGATAAATAAAATTGTAGTGGCTTTTTTGTGATATATTTTATTTTAAATTATTAATAATATTTCCTTTTTATTTAAATTTAATCTAATAGGGTCGACTATCAGTCGCACCCACTTTGATTAGACCAACTCTCACTTTTTTTGTGACCGTAGTATTGGTAACATAAGTAAAACTTAACAATGACTTGATTTTGATCGATAATATGACAGAACTTTTATTTTTCAGCGTTGAAGTCATAACAAAGAATAAATTACCATAGAAAAGAACATTGCATTTGTACGTCTCCCATAAATAGATCCAACAAATAGAGTACTCGGGGTAATGGTTGTGAAAATTAATTAGTAACCATCAAATGTGAAATTTGGTAGCTTGAGTGTGTTTAAAGTTTGATAAAGTCCTTTTTGAATTTTGAAGAACTTCTTCAATGGAATAAATGCAATTATATAATTTCACATCTAATTGTTAAGATTGATTGTGATCACGTTGTACAAAAAGGTAAGTGGTCTTATAATGTACATTTTGATATCTATTTTATGATTTGCTCTATTTGTTAGAAAGGTTGAATTTAACATAAAAATCATGTACCGACATACGCTAAGGTTGGGTGGTCGGGAAGAATGTATGTGAGGCCAACAACTTCCCATACATTAGAGACGAGTGTGGCTTTCCAATCTCTGATAAATAGATCCAATAAACAGATTACTTGGGTTAATGGTTGCGTTAAAACTAATTAATAACCATCAAAAGTGAAAATTGATAATTTGGGTGTGTCATAAAGTTCGATAAAGTTTATTTTGAACTTTGAACTTGTTCAATGGAATAAATATAACCACCCAATTTTACATCTAGTTATCAAGATTAATTGTGACCACCTTGTACAAGAAGTAAGTTGTCTCATATTATACTTTTTCATATATATTTTATGATTTGTTCTATTTGTTACAAAGGTTGAATATTTGTAGTCCACTATTTTTCATTCTTCATTGATTATATTGTGATGGATTTAGTCAAAAGTTCATCTTGCAACAAATGTATGTAAACAGGTTGCATCCCCTCGAGACTGTTCATCTTGCATAGTATAAAGTCAGTGCCTTATAAAAACCTTTTTGTAATTAGATAATAATTTTCCAATTGTTGGAGGGTGGTTGGCATAAAGTTGCAACCTCAAACAATCAAAGTAAAGTACACCGCCAAATTTCATCGTAAGATATAATTTTGGTGTTAAAAATTCTTAGGATAGCCTAAGAATCCATTTTCATCTCTAATTATAAAATTTTAAATTTTAAAAATAGTTCAAATCAAGTAGATCTATAAACACATGAAAATCTTGAAAATGGACGGTCTAGATAATGTGTTGCAAGATGCATTATTTTTGGGACGCGAAATATTTTTTTATTTTTATATTCATACATCTCGATGTCGAGATGATTGATTAGAGAGTTTCCAATCTTCAAAACAACCTTTCACAATGGATTTTTAAGATACACCTTAATTCTACATTTTAAGGTTGCAAGATTATATAAACTTTCTCCATTGGATAATAGATATTTATATCTACTTTTTTCTTCTCTTAAATTGCTATCCATGCTAATTGAATCATTCATAGAGAAGGTCCCTTACACCCAAATATACAAAACAAACGGTGGATAAAGGGGTAGATTTCACTTCTCATCTCATCACCATGGAGCCCATTTAGTGCATGGTGATCATTATGACCACCCTATTAATCATGAACACATGGACAATATCATACTATAATCCCCAATCTGTTATAAAAGTCTCGCCTACTCTAGTGACCATGACCATTTTAATAGGTACCTTTTTGGTTGTTAACCTCATTCATTGAAATGAGGTTTGTGTCATTGTATCTCAATCATTATTGACCATGTGATGTGAAATAGGGTAATAAGCGTTGTGTCATTGATGGGGTATAAAGTTACAAATAAGATTTTTCAAATGTTACGACAATATCATAGCCTATCAAAGATTTCATATCTGATGGTTAAAAGTGATAGAACTTTATTATATTAAAAATCACAATATACAATCCCATACAATATATTTGCATTTTGACAAGGGGCTAGGTATTTGGTGTAGAAGCTAGTGTCTATGGCATATACCGGAAATTATCACTTGGTAGAGTTTCGGTGCATCCAGGGATGCAATAATTTTTTTTTTGAATAGCAAATATATAAACATAAGATGTAGTTTGCATAAGATTGCAACATTAAGCAATCAAAGTGGTGCATTTTATCATAAGATATAATTTTAGCATAAAAATTTATAAGATATCATAAGCATCTATATTCATCTCTAATTATAACAGTTCAGACTCCAAAAATGTTTCAAATCAAGTAGATCTATAAAACCATGAAAATATTGAAAATGGACAGTTCAGAAAATGTGCTGCAAGGTGCACTATTTTTGGGACTCGAATATTTTTTTTTTTTTTCACATTCATACGTCTCGATGTTGAGATGATTAATTAGAGGGTTTTCCAACTTCAAAACATTCTTTTACGATGAATTTTTTAAGTGCATCTTAAATCTACATTTTAACAATAAACTAGGCATTACCCTTTCTATAGTAGTGTGTGAGGCTTGTGTTAGTCTTGTTTAAAATATGAAGAATCTCATTAACAATGGATGTTAACTTCCATGGTGCGCATGCTCGATTTGTGCCCCATTTGATAACATTATGAATCACCCTCTGTCAATTTCATCTTCACGCCTTCCAAAGTCTCCCGTCCCCTCATTTACTAAAATAAATCCCCTTTTCCTCAAGTTATCAATGGCGGGATGATAGTCGCAAGTTGTATTCAAACATTTATCCAGAGGAAAAAAAAAAAAAAGAAAAGAAAAAGAAAAAAAACACTGATTGTTTGCTTAGAAAACAAAACAAGTGTATCCTTGGTTGGCCTTTCTTTCCTCCCGAATACTCCCCTGGCAAGGCCAAATATGCAAGAGTACAACTGGATCTCTAAATTCTAATTCTCTGATGATGATTTATGAACCCATTGATATCTTACACCACACATTCGATTCTCAAAATCTAAAGCCTAACATGCACCACTGGTGCATGGTTGGTTTTGTGATATGCCATGGTGATGGATATTACATTTTATAATTACAGATAAAATAAAATTTTAAGCCATCATAGGGATTTTCAGTAGTGAAACGACATCTTTCGTTACTATTTGAATGTGTGTCTTTGATTGTTTATAGCCTCGGCCGTAGACAAACCACATCCTAATGTAAATAGCCCCCTGAGTATGTAAGTAGGTTTGCCTTACCCTTTTGGCTTTAGAGGTAAAATGGCTCTTAGCAGCCTTATTACTACTTTTTTTAACAAGGTCGTGCAGGAATGGAAGTTGAGACATAGCTATGAAAACCTAACTGCTACCGTCTTCGCTTAAACCCGATTCCTTAGCACCCTGTTACTACTTAGATGGGTAGGAACATGCTGGGCCGCCACAGCCCGAAACCATGTAAAACAAGCCCAACCTATGGCCAAAAATTTATAATTGGGCACCGCCCTAAATCGTGGTAACATGGCCCAAACCCAAAAAAATTGGGCCTTCTAAGGTGGACCTCATATAACCGCTCTGAAATTTTTCAAAAAGCTGTGTAGAAAAACAGTTGGGTTGGATCCGGTCCAGCCTGGCCCTGTCAAAAATACACCGGGCCTATCAGACCTGACACTCGGGTTAAAATGCGAAATTG